AAGGAAAGTGGAAGGACTTTAAAAGTGTGCCTAAGTAGTTTTGCTTTTGTATACTTCCTCGTGTTCACTAAACTGGAATAAAATTTTCCTGTGCCACTGAAAGTTACCGTTATAGCAACTCTTCTATTAGTTCATTCCATTTTTACTTCGGTATTCAGCAAACCGTACTGAATGGGTGTATTTTGTGCTTGTAAGGAGTTCAGAAGTAAGCTGCTTATTTTATGATAGCTGTAAAGAGAGGTAGAATATGCAGTTCCCAAAACTGTTTGTTGGTTGAAGAGGAGAAGGGAGAAGGAAAGACAACATACAATCCTAGGTGGCTGAACAAAGATGTAATGTGAAAAAGGTGTAGTAGTCCCTGACAATCATTAAATCTGCAAAAGAAACCTGGTACACTGGGTGTTAATTACAGTAATTCAAGATGTTTCTGGGAATACAGTGGATTCTTTTTCATCTGGCCTGTACAATTAACAACTCAAGTTTTCTGTTACGAATCCTTAAATTGTTCTGCTGTCTTATGAACAAAAAGAAATGCCTAAAAGACAGTAGCGGAGTCTACTTTTCCAAACTTCTTTGAATGCCTTGTGTCCTAAAGATGCTGCCTTTTCTGTGTGTTCTCCAAAGAGCTGTGGCAGCAATTTGCTAGAGACCCTATATTTACTAATTTATAAAATGATTAGTTTTGAATAAGGGTTTGAATTAACTGATAAGTTGTGGGCCTAAAGTATTTATTTCATATTAATTGAAACCCAGAGCCTTAACATTTAGTGACCTGAGCCACACATATTTACAGTTAGTGCAGCACTTATAATTGCAAGTCACACATGGAATTATTGATTGCTCACAGTAACGAGTACTGTGCTCAATGCCATGAGTGTTGCAGGATCAATTCCTCTGTCTCTGTTCCTATCACAGTTGCAGACCGTATATGTGAGTAAATCACATTAAAAGTATCTTATTGTTTTTATTTTTTTTCCTCCTGTGTCTTGTCTTGTCCTGAAGATCCCCTCGTATTCCCACTGTAGTTCCTGCACTGACATCTGTCTTTGAGGCTTGTCAACAGAAAGCAGCATGTTGTCCCAGAGCCCAACCTTGCTCCCTCCACATTACTCTCAAGCAGGGATCTGTGAGCAATTAGCTGAACTAGCCTCTCAAACATCAGTACCTGGAGGTGCATATTTAAATGTTTTAATGACCTCAGTGGGGATAAGGCATGGGAAATTTTTAGCAAGATCAAACTATAGAAGAGGCAAAATTGCCAAGGAACTGCAGCTACCTTTCTATAGAGATTTTTCCCTCAATTTTATGAGGATATCATACCAGGATGGATTATGTTCTGGACATGAACTTTAAGTGCAAGGACATCTGAGATTTTGGTTCTGGGTCTTCTCCATTCAAAACATATTAACAACAAATTACATTCTGCTAAAAATCATCCTAACCATTTTGGGTTGGGAGCAATTTAAAAGCTGATTTGCTTGCCTAAAGTAGTTTTAGCCTTGCTTAAAAATGTGCTTGATCAGCGATAACATCTTAGGAAACTGAGCTCACAGTGGCAAGCTAAAGTTTTTCCAGTCATCCATGAATCTCTCTCTTCCCTGGCTCCTTTGGGGTATGATGTCCCAGGGGAATAGTTACTTGAGTTTCCAGAGAACATGGGCCACTGATGTTCACCTTATGGAGTTTACCGTAAATCCATAGCCTACGTAATTACTGTGGAGTGGGGGATGCGCTGCCCCTCCCAAGGGGACATGCAGTGCCTCTGCAGGACACCACTCTGAGTTTTGGTCCTTCAACCTCATGGCGGTAGGAAGATTACTCTTAGAAAACTCTTGTCTTCTACTAGGAGTGATAAATGATACCTATAGGTTTAAACTGGGCAAAAGCCAGACTATGCCATTATATTGCCACAGTTTCCACTGTACAAGTGTGCTTAGTTTACAACGTGCAGTCATTTTTAAGTAAGTTTTTTCCAGCATTTATGACCCCTTTGAGTGACCCCTTTGAGTAACCATAGATTTGGAATGGAATGCTCTTTTTGGAATGAGTATCTAAAATATAATCTTGTTTCCCAGTCTGCCAACCCCTTTTGGAGTTGTACGTGTCCAACCAGCATACTAAGAGTTAGCAGTCCTTGTACTCAGGGTAGCCCAACTACACAAGCTCTCAGCTGTACTACCCAAGGATGTGATGAGTGACTTGGATTGCAGAGAACTGGTGCTACTGCTGCCCTGGATATGTGGGAAAGTGATCCTACCAGCTATAATGGTCATCATCTAGGAGGATGAGAATTCCCAAGAGGCTTGGACCCCACACAGGAAAACAAATGAATGGGAGGCAAAGTAGGTTTTGCATTTCTTCTCCTCAACACGTCTTCCTAGAATAAGACACAATCTTTCCATACATATCAGAGCATGTGCTCTTACAGTGTAGACAAGAAAAACACATGCAGAATTCAAAGTAGCTGAGGGAAGCAAATAGCTATGTTAGCAAAAGAAAAAAATATGGAAGAAATGTGGAATATATTTTCCTTCTATGAATTAAATGAAAATTTTGTTTATAAAAGGATCTAAAATATATCCCTATTCATGCATCTTCAAATAGTGCCTGCCTCTGGATCTCTGATTGCTTTCTGAATCATTTGTCTAACCCCAGAATCCCAAAGTGCAGGTACTTGATACTTAATCTCAGCTTATGGCCCTTGCTTACCTCTAAGTTAGTGCTGAAACAAATGACTTGAAGAGAAAGAGAGGTTAAGCAATCATTTGAAAACCCATCTCTGTTAGTGGGATTGGTATCTTTGTCTGTCTTGAAGCCATAATTTGAAGGATGTGAAAGCTTCATCATCTTTACTGCTGTGAAAAACACATCGAAACATGCCGTGTAATTCTACCACAGTAAAATAAAGAGTAAAGTCATGAATATTTGAAAAGTGTAAACAAGAACAATCTAGATAATTATTTAGGATCCCTAATGACTGTCATTAGCAATAATGATGATGAAATTTACAAGTAAAAACAAAAGAGAAGAATACGAGGAAAAACTTGCTAATCATGAGGTAGCTTAAACTGTTGAAGAGAGTTTTGTGGGGAATGGTAGAAACTACATAATGTGAAGCAATTAAAATTCTTCTAAACAAAGCATTCAGAAACATATATTACAATACAAAGCAGTTTTATATTGTCAGGGGGTGAACAGGTTACCAACTGTCTAATTTTTATGATCTTCATTTGAGGAAGAAAGAAATGAAATAGAATTAGGTACTCAAAATAGATGTCTTGGTTTTTTTCAGCACAAATTGAAGTGATACCATGCAAAATTTGTGGAGATAAGTCCTCTGGAATACACTATGGAGTCATCACATGTGAAGGCTGCAAGGTATGAGATTTTAATACAGCACAGTCATCAGCATCTGCATTAGCCTCAAGTATCTGTGTGCACAATAATACGCTGTGACGTCCTTTCAAACAAGGGGTGTCAAAGGCTGTAAAGCCTGCTGCTGATATAGATGTGTTCCATGTCTAATTTTACTAGTTGCTTTCCTTTTTCATCAAATAGTCTTTAGAATTGCCTCCTTGTTTGAAACATGAATTAATCACAACTGATGCAGTATAAGTGTTGATACAGAGGCTAGCAAATGTAAGTCACACATGTTCTACCTTAAATCAACTTGAGAGTTGAATTTGTTCTCTTGTTTCCTATACAATCCGTACAGCATTAAAAGTTGGCGCAGTATCTCAGTTCAGCAGCTTAAAAGCTTACAGGTTTCTGGTCGTATTTTATCCCTTTTGTATTCTCTGCAAGCCAAACTCAAATCTCCAAAAGAAAAAATGCCTCACATTATGAGTAGTGTAAAAGAATCCTTTGCCTTCCTTCTTTTAGGCTCCGGCATAGGGGAATTGCTGGGAATTGGAGGTAAAAACACCCTCCATGCTGCTTTGTCATGTTAGACCAGCCATGGGTGCAAATCAGTTCCAGTCAGACCCCAAGCCAACTGAAGGAAGGCTTCAGTTTCTAATTTTAAAAAGGCTCTGTCATTAGCTTACCTAAGGAATTATTTCATTACTCATGGAAATCCAGAATTTTATACTGCACACGTCAGTATTTCAGCTTTGAATGTAAATGTGAAGTTGCAAAGGTGGGGGGGGAGCACCTCTGATTTCTTCTATATGCAAAGACACAAGCTGGTACTTTTAAGGGTAGATGCATATTTGCAGAGTGAAATGGCAAGTCTGTATTTACTCAATGCTTTATGAAATTTTAGAACATCTGAACATCTGAAAATTTGGATGCACCCATCCCTGAAAGAAAGAGCTTAATTTAATGCCAATACATTGAGAAGCAATACATTGTCAAAGATCAGATCCTCCTTTCAGAAATGCTAACAGTTGTAACTGAAACAACTCACATAGTGACACTGTCTTATTGTGACGCTGGACTGGAAATAAGCGTCTTTTTATGATGATCACACAAAACAGGATTGTCAAAGATCAGATCCTCCTTTCAGAAACGCTAACAATTGTAACTGAAACAACTTGCATTGTGACACTGTCTTATTGTGACACTGCACTGGAAATAAGCATCTTTTTATGATGATCACACAAAACAGACTAATTGATCTGATACTTCAAAATTGGCACAAAAACAACAGGAGAAAAACGCTTTAAGCAGAAAAGGAGCTTCTTGTCTCTGTACCCAGCCTACCCAGAGCAGTCAGGGGTAGAGTCTCCTGTAGATGTGATTAGTGTTAATGCTGGCCCTTGTGTGTGCCTCAAGAGGAGACGATACCTCTCAGCTCTGTATGTAGATTGCTTATTGAGATAAAGAGCTCCTCTTTCACTTAGGGCAATTTTAACCCTATTGTTTTTGTGCCAGTTTTGCAATATCAGATCAATTAGTCTAATCTTGTTTTGTGAGCCTGTTGTGAAAAAAAGATGCCAATTTTCACATCAGGTCCAATGAGAGGTGTTTCAGTTTGTCAAAGGTCTCTCTTAAAGTAAGCACTGTCTTGGGCAGCGTAACTCGGCTCCTCATTGTCCAACAATTAAATAACAATTTGCTCAGCTTGCATGCTAATAACTACTCATTTCTGGCTCCTTTTGTCTGAATGCATTAGAAATCTCAATTAATTAAGAGGGAGAGTGCATGTGGAAGAAAGAGGAGAGACTGGCCCCACAAACACGCGTTCATGTTAAGCCCCTCACCAGACCGCTGTGGTGTTTCAGGACCCAACATCTGAGCATTGCACTGCCGGTGGCGGTGCAACAAACTTCAAGGGACACAAAATCCTTTCACTTGAAATCTCTACATTAGCTATGTCACTGAAAATGCAGTTGATAAATGCTGAAAGGGCATCACAAACACCACTGCTGTTTTGGGCTGCGTGTCTGGATGTGCTGAGTAACATGCTGGGCCCATTGAACAAAATGGTGCTTCTGCCACTGTCTGCACTGAAAGGGTGAAACCTGAAGACAGGTTTCCACCTTATCTGTCTCAGTGGCACCTCCTTTTGATGGGATGCCTCTTATCATCCCTCCTGCCTCCCCACACAGCAAAATGTTTGGTGGCACTATTTTGTCGTAATTCAGACATGCATGACCATTTCCATTTTCAGACTGGTTGACAGTGATGGATAAAGTGAATTGTTCAAGATGCAGACAGACTTGTTGGCAGTATTGGGAATATTGGGAGACCTGTCTTTAAGTCTTGCTCCTCAGTAATGAATTGCCTCCTCCTTCCCCAACAGGGAATTATTCTCTGTAAATATAGCCGTTATTCTTTAAAGATCCCCTAAACATGATATAAAGTGATGCTCTATACCTTGTAATAAAACATTTAGATCTTATGGAGGAGGAAAAGAGTATAAAAATCTCCCTGGAAAATTACCTGTTTTTAAATTAACATTTTAATGGAACCCTTGATTTTTTCTAAGAGGGACAAAGAATGAACAAGTAAACTCTCGCGAGATGAAATCAACATTAATGGGAAAAAAGTAGCACTACAGAATAAGGCACAGTCAATGCTAGAGTGTTATTTGTTGGGTTTTTTTAACTTCATTTAGTTCATTTGTCCTGCAATTAGCATCCATTTAGCCTTAAATTAAACTCCTCTCTACAGCTTCAAGAGAGTTTTGGTCAGCCAGGACCAGTTAAGTCCCCATCAGATTTTTCCTAATAGTTCCCCTAAAGGACATATGTGTTTCCCAAAGTGCATATCATCCAACTTAAATTAATTTTTAGATATATTATAATTGCTCATAAAACCAGAGCAGGGTGGATGAAGTGAGTCTTTTTACGCTTGATTTCATGAACTAACAACATCAGTGTCCTTAGTCCTATCCATCGCTGTTGACACCCAGTGCCGTCCTCATGCAGTTCACTAGGACTGGAGCGAACCTTCACATGCTACCTTTTGCAAGTGAATTGAGCCCTGTTACAACATAGCCCAATAGTTTCCCCACTGTCATTCCCCCCCAAATGCACAGGTCTTGCGACTTCCATGGCTTATTATTATCTATCATGAGATAACACAGTTTTTACCTGCTAAAAAGAGTCAGTTCTTGCTTTTGGATTTGGTGCAGAGCAGTTTACAACCCGACCTAGAAAGGCACAACCGCTTTGGTGTCACTGCTCCTGGTGACTAGCGTAACTGTGCAATAATGACACTTTCTACCCTTTTTGTCTTCATGACTTCCTGCAGTTGCTAGGCTATCCTTCATCTTTCCTACCACACAACTGTGCACTTACCTGCTTCTAAAGTGGCTAAGTTTGCCAATGAACAACTTCTTTGTTTATCTCTCTCTGTCTCTCTCTGGACTCACTGTTCCTCCTGTGCTTTATTTTACAGGAAATAAAAGAATATCAAATAAAACTCTCTCTCTGTCTCTCATCCTCATCCCCTGGTTTCATTCCTCTTGTCACCTCTGCCACTTCATGTCACTTCTACCATAACACTGCCTCTTGGTGTTGTTCCTAGTGGTTAGGAGCTCATGAGGCCCTTAGGTATGAGTTAATACTCTAGTTATAGCCCTCTGATCTTTAGTCAAATTTCCCAACAACTGGCCAGAAAAACTTTACAGGAGCTAGAATAACTACAAAATTTTAAATAGGCAAAATGGATAATGATATATTCCATTGACATAGAAAATGTCATTACTTTCTCATGATAGTGTCTAAAGGTGTTGCTTGCTCCTTTGCATGTGAGCTTTACTTCATACAGTCATTAAACCCTAGTGCTTTTGTGGATGCTTGAATTTGAATTGCTTTCACTCTTAAAGTTTCCCTCCAGATAAGATCAACATTTGCAGGGTTAAACTAAGCAGCAGACTTCACCTTCTAATACTATGCATAGCCAGTGTTGGTTTTACCAATCTCTTTCCTTAAAGAAAGAAAATAGTCAGAACGAATACTTTTGTCATCCGTTTACAAATATGGATGAGTTTGTCCTCTGTTAGGAAAAAGCATTGAATGATACATGGTGGTTCTTATAGGGTAGGAATGTATTTTGTAACTCTATTGCTTGCCTTTTAACAAAGTAATAATTATAGTCTTTACAGAATAATGCACAAATCTCCCTGCTAGCGGTGAATGTTAATTTCATTGTGCAAGGCTAGAGCATCTGCAAAGCTGTAGCATAAATAAAATTGCACTAAATAAAGTTTATTGAAGTCATTTACATGGTTGTGTGTGTGTGTGCATGTGTGCATACGTGTACATGGTAATTCTCTCTCTCTCTCTCTCTCTCTCACTCTCGCTCTTTGCCCCTAGGGATTCTTTCGACGGAGTCAGCAGAACAATGCCTCTTACTCCTGCCCAAGGCAGAGAAACTGTTTAATTGACAGAACCAACAGAAATCGTTGCCAACACTGCCGACTGCAGAAGTGTCTTGCCCTGGGAATGTCTCGAGATGGTAAGGAGTCAGATTCCTGCTTCATGCTTCAACCCTTTGAAACTCTTTGTTGCTGCCTGGCTTACACTCCCTACAGATTTCTGGAAGGAGAGAGAGGAGAAGCTCCTGGCTGTGAGGCAGAGCTTTGCCGTTCAGTTAAAAAAAGGAGCATGTTTTCATGGGCTGGGGTGGGGAGAATAACAACATGGAGAACAGTATTAGTTTGAAATGGAAAGAGTCAGAAGTGAAATGTGTTGTTCTGATTAAAAGCACAAAAGGGTCACCTCTAGAGAGACAGATTCATATTGCAGTTTAGATAACCTCTCATATTAATGACATGCTAGGCCACTCTCGACCATCTTTGAAAGATCATGGAGAACAGGAGAGGTGCCTGAGGACTGGAAGAAAGCCAAGGTCACTCCAGTCTTCAAAAAGGGCAAGAAGGAGGAGCCAGGAAACTACAGGCCTGTCAGCCTCACCTCCATCCCTGGAAAGGTGATGGAACAGCTCCTCCTGGAGGTCCTCACTAAGCATGTGGAGGACAAGAAGGTGATCAGGAGTAGTCAGCATGGATTCACCAAAGGGAAATCATGCTTGA